ATAATTCTTAAAGGCAGAAGAACAAATAAGCTACACCTGTAAACTTTATCTTGAATTTAATGTTTCAGTCTTTAGGCAAGTTGTCCAGAAGGGACTTCAGACTGCAGCTTCCTTGCATGTTTTATCTTCTGGCTACCTCATGGATTTATTGCTGTTTGTGTTACTTCAGCTGTAACCTGGACAATGCTGTCACTTGTGACTCAATAAATCTGTAGAGAAAAAGAGCAGACCTGTAAGGAAGAGTTCAGATATAAAAAGAAGTGAAACAAATAGGATGGAAAATAATGATTTAATGTTTTCCCATCACATTTCTCTATAGATTTAAACAGGGTGTATTACTATGGGTGACAATATAGGAATAGTTTAAATATATTTTTGAGGTAACTGTTCCAGAAGTTAGAATTTTCAGTTAGTGCTATCACAGTGAAAATATTGTGTTGTTGCCTGACATCTTTCCAATATTATTTTCTCAATTTGTATAAAGCCTCATTATTTAAATGCTTTTTAATTTTTTGTTATTCCAATAAAGTCAGAACATGAATTTAAGAAGATTACCGTCACCTAAAAAAGTTGGAAATAAGCTCAGTATATCATTGCTTAATTTGATTTTTTATTTTACTGTTTACGTTAGCATGAATAACAGTAAAGAGCATGAGACATGCATAAGTATTGCAATTCTGGTAAGTAAAGTCTTATCATACAGACAATGGCAATGCAGGATGCATTTTGAAGGTGTAAGTGTTGTAAATTATGCTGCCATACAAGAAGTGGAAGTAAAATGTACATAGGTTATTCACTGTTTCTTTTGTGACATTTGGCATTTGCTTTCTAAACATATTCTTCGTTTTAGTTCATTCTTATCTTAAAGTGAGCTAGTTTGATTAAACACTACCAGGAAGATTTTGTGTTCCACTGTTACAGAGCATATATACAAAGCTCTAAATATAATTACAAGGACATAGAGCAACATATACTTGCAGAAAAGCAAATGCTACATGCAGGTTTGGTAAAAGTTTGTAATCTAGACTCAGTTACCTTATAATTATTATTGGCGGTATTTCTTTTAGAACCTTTGATTTTTCTTTCCATTATTAGTTAAGAACAAAACAGAGACAACTTTTTAAGAAGAACGTGGTACTTTGAGAAAAAGATTTTTCAAGGTGGCCTTTTTATTTTATATATTTAGGCTTCTAAATTATTGTAAAAGATCTGTTTTCAGTGTTTTTGAAGGGGGGTGGAGGGGGGAGAAAGGAAAAATAACCCGGAGGTTGCATAATGATCTCCAACCCTCTCTACCTCAGGTGTATAATCAGTTAAGATATGGTTCAACGTACTTTAATAACCTTTTTTTTTCTTTTTTCCTCACTGTTTTATTTGTTTTTCCTTCTCATAATTAAATTCTTCACATTAACCCTATTATGTAGAAAATGAACCATTTTAGTAGTATCATACTTATCGCATCAGCAAACTACAGCTCATATTTTATTTCTTACCATGGTTTACCATCACGTTAGAACTCAAAACATTACATTTTACATCACCTGTGAAAAGTTAGTAATACTTTTCAGCTGTGAGATGATGCTGATGATTTAGTTGTAAACTACTTGGGACACCTTTCTTGTCTTTGCTGCTCCTGAAGTAAAGAATTTCTTTTGTATCTTGGATTTAATGTTTCAATCTTTAGGCAAGTTGTCCGGAAGGGGCCTGAGACTGTAGCTTCCTTGCATGTTTTATCTTCTGGCTACCTCACGGATTTATTGCTGTTTGTGTTACTTGTAACCTGGACAATGCTGTCAGTTGTGACTCAATAAATCAGTACAGAGCCTATCTAAGCCTATCATTTTTTAGTTTTAGTGGTGTGTGTGAGTGCGTTTATTTTTTTCTCTTCAAAAGCATTCATAAAATCAGTCAGGAGGGCCCTTCCCTAGTGAATGGAAATTATCACGACTTTTTCTTCTTCTTCTTCATATTTCTTAGAATATTTATTATTTTCTATCTCACTCAACACCAGGCTGTTATACTTTATGGAACTGAATACAACAGGGATAGAACCTGGTTTTAGAAAAGCTGATTTTTAGAGAATGTAGATTCATGAACCACATTCAGGCAAAGTAATAACAGCAATCAGGCACATCAATTAACTCTTCCCATAGAATAATAAGTAAATAAACAAATCCACACGACATAGAAAATGGTTTGGAATAAGGAATACTGAATTAGATAAAAAGAATATTTTATAAATATTTTCCATAAGACTTAAATAATAAAACCATAGAAGTGCTTAACTAACTCAAGAAAATAAGCAGTAGAAAATAACTTCAGAAGAATAAATAATTCAATACTATACTAAAATGTGTGTTATTGTAACCACAAATTAATTTATGAAATGTAAGAAAGATTGTCTTGCACTAGGAGTGTACTAAGATTGTCTTGTCATTCTGATTGTCATTCTTGTCAAACTGTACTAACTGTACAGATTTTTCTCTGCTTGTTTTAGACTTTGAGAAAAACAGTATGATTTCTGCTAAGTCTTGTTAAGTGGAAGAAAGACTATTGATTAAACTTGCCTTTTTGCTAGGGTGAATATTTGTCACATGAAGTGCTTCAGCACAAAAGATGTTGAGTAATTCTGCTTGCCAGGAGTACAAGGTCTCACTGAACAAGTCACATCACTACATCTTGAGGTTCATTAACAACAGATGATCTGTAAAAGAACCCAGAAGTTAGTTTTCTCTCACTTTTTTTTTTTTTTTTCTGATGTATTATTTTTTATTATCTGAAACTATACTACTTCAGTTTTCATTGACTAACTGGCCTTTATAACTATAGCCAAACCAGGTAACTGGATTTTCCAGGTTTTCTAATCATGGATTTAGAACTGGCTCATAATTTTTATTTCTATGTTGCTGACAACTCTGTCTCTCCTAAATGTAATGGCAAAATACATGAGACTCAAGGGAAATGCAAGTCATAGACTTGATACACAGAAAACCACAAGAAAAAAAAAAAAAAAGCCACAAAACCCCTAAACACTGATCTGGTTATCTGGTTATTAATTCATTCTGAAGCCAGTTTGAAATGTGTATGATTTGTTGGAGGTAGGAGGGGAACATTTATGGATTTCATTCAGCACTTTGAAAATATCCTTATAACACTGTCAGTCATAGAATATGCTAAAAAATTATAAGTATATGTAGAGTACGGTAGGACATTTTCTGCAAATCCATATTATATACACATACAATTAGATATGTATGTAGTGTTTTTCTAATAGGCAGAGAAAACCAGTCTTGGGGAGCAGTTAGTTTTTTTCCTCTTTTTCAGTTGCTGACAGCAGAGGATGTGATTAAAAACTTGCTTTACTAATGTCACCTATTAGCAAATACCTAATTTACTTTATTTTGTGTCATAAATTGTGACAGATTCTACTGTGGATTCAGTTATGCACAGATGACCTCATTTATTTCTTTATCTGCAGCCATGAAATTCTGAGATACTACTGAGGCATCAGAACCGAGACTGGAATAGCCCCAGATTTTCAGTCCTCTGGACATAGTGAAGTCAGCTGAGGGATACTGAAGTTGTCACAGTGAAAGATGTGTTGTATCCACAGATCCATGTGACTCACTTCTTCAGTGCTTAGGCTGTGTGGACTTATACTCTCAAATCAACCTGGGGGTTTGAGAATCTATGGGGTTTGACAGTAGCCATACTTGCTCTTTGAAATTTGTACTGAAAACATGGCTACCACACACTTCCTGGTGACAATCTGAGTTTATCAAAAATCTTTATTGGAGATGAAGAAGAAAAGAAACATCAGGCAAGTAACACTGGTGTTATGCACTACATTTATTTGTGATGCTTGTAGAGATAGAGCTGCTGCCTGGACTTCTGTGGCATTCAGAAAAGTGCTAAAAAACAGAACATTACTTCTGTGCATTTCCTCTTGCATCTATGCAAATAACACTTCTGTTAGAGAGATTCCCACTTTTCTCTTGCTGAACAGTTAACTAAGAAATCATTTTTATCACATCAAAAGTTGGCAGACTGCAACTGAATTTTCTGCATATGGAAAACAAAATGTAAATCTAGCCATGATTATCGACCAGATGACTTCCAGAGGTCCCTTCCAATCTCAACCCTTCTTTGATCCACAGATTTAGTGGTAGAGAGTATTTTATTACCTGAAGTGAAGGTGTCTGTTTTAAAGTGATTCCTTCACCCCTAAAAGTTTTCACTAAGTTCTGTTCTCACATTGTTTGTATTGATCTTCTGTGGCTTTGTAGAGAAGGAAGGATGCTGCAGATTCCCTGCATCGGGTTATAGACGTTGCTGAAACCATATGTTCTTTGTGATACTTTTAGAGGAGTTACTGACTACTACAATTACTTTACTTCCTTTGGTATCACAAGCTACATGTGTCTAGCAAACCAGTAAGTTTGTCTGAGAAGTTGCCTAAGTAGCCTGGTAGACAAAAGAGGGGGAGGGAGAAAGGGAGTGAAATGAGTGCTTTGGGTAATAGATTGGAGAGGCAGTGTTTCTAGAATTGACTAGAAATCTCTGTTAAGTTTAACATGCTGCATCTGTGGTAAAAAGTTTAATATTGAGCTCAACTAGTAGGATTCTAACCTTCAAGCATCAAATGTTGTGAGGTCCTCCTACCTAGTAACAGAGCAATGATTGTCAAAGATGGGATAGGTCATGAAGTTAATTTAAACTCTTCCTCAGGCACAGCACATCACACTACAGATATTAGATATATTTCTTAGAGACTAGACAATTGGATTTTAATTGGATTATAATTGGGGGCAAGGGAGAAATTAAAAAATAAAATAAAATAAAATAAAAATATATATATATATATATAATCATAACACCTGGGAACCTTCATATAAATGCAAGATGGTGAGGGCAAGACAGCTGAAGCCTGTGTGGATGAAGGACAGCAGTAAAGTGGTGAAAATGTGATACAGGTGCTATCATGGCTTGGCAGTGAGTTGCAGGATGAGGATGAGGTTTCATCCTGCTGGTGGCCATGTTACGTGGCTGCTGTACATTATCCACCCTGTTGTTTGTCACAGGGTCCTGAAAATCACAATTTGATGTTTCTGTAGTAAAGATGTGAAACAAGTATCAAAAAGGTGGAGGAACTGAAGATGTATTAATTTTTGCTGATGGTCAGGTATGTGGTTGATTTTCTTTGGGGTGCTAGTTTTGTTTTCTTATAAGTTTTCATGCTGTTTGGGTTTGTCACCTCTCTCCTTCCCTGTTACCTTTTTGGGGATGGACTCTGGTTGCAGGCAGATGTTACTTGCTCCTTGTTCAGGCTTCTGAACTGGGAAGAAAGATGTATGAGGTTCAAGGCAGCGTCATTTAAAAGTTGCAGTTCTTAACAAGAAGAGAAAAATCACGTTGTTACTTTTCTGTGCTTTCATCCTTCTGTTCATAATACTCCTGTATAGATAGCCCATGATGAGTATGAAATACATTCTTACTATAGTTCTTTCTATATATCTTTGTATTCTTTTGGAGAAAGATAATAAGAACAAATAAAGTAGAAGAAATAATTTAGGTAAATGAATATTTCGAAGACTATTTTGTGGTTATTGGGAGTTCTGCAATGTTCTTTCCTATCCCTTACTTCTATGACTGTTGTTTTCTTTTGTTTGTTTACTTCATTCCATGAAATCATTTTAAGCTATCATTCCAGTTATTTTAAATTAATTATTGGAATGTACCTGGAATAGAGAATACAGTTGTTGAAAAATAATCATCCTGAAATGCCATGAATTACTGCATGCTACCATAGCTGGTAAAATAAATAGAATCAGTACATCAGGATGAGAGAAAATGTTTTAGAAAGGTGCTTCTTCTAGGATTAATGACTTGGCTACAATATCAAAGATAATGAAAAACAAACCTGTGGTTGTGTCAGGAATGTGCTGTAAACAAAAGATTTGGTATTTAGCTGCTTATTTGATTCTCTGTCTTTACACTCTCCACTTCCTGTTTGTATTTTAAGTGCTGAAAACTATATCACCTCAGAGCAGTGTTGGGTAAGGTGGTTTGACCAAGTGAATTGTTACTTCTATTTAATTAATAGTTACTGACCAGAATGATAACTATAGGACTGGGATAAAAATGGCTTGCATGCTCTTGTGTCTGTGAGGTTAGTAATTTGTGTCTCTTGTAATCATGTCTTCACATTGTGTTTTACTGGAAAACACAAAGTCCGTTTTAATTCTTCTTGTACTGTACACTGAATAAGGTCTTTTTTCCTATATTTTCCCTTCTACTTTTAACCTGATTTTGACTTCTGAACATTTTTCTGTATTTATTCATTTCCTTTTAAATAGATTAGGAGGGGGACAGGGATATGGTAGAGAAGCGAGGGGATTTATTAACATATATCATATAACTGTATTCTCTCATTAATGGCTACCTAAAGAAGCTGTGCCATACCTGAAGGTTAATTAATTGTCAGTGGACAAGTCCTCAGTATTGTGGAATATGTCAAAAGCATGATATGAAGAACTGAGTTGCTTTGTTTATGCAGTAAATATTTCCGTGAATGTACTTTAATTGCAAGTTGCATAAGGAAAGAAAAATAATCACTTTCTGTGAAATTCTGTATTTCTTTTGAAGATATTCATGCTGATTCATCTTGTGGGCAAGCTGTGAGTTGATTTGTTCACCCATCTCATGTGTGTTTGAGAATGCACTGTATTTGTGTACTTGATCTGAAACATTCCAACATGTGTGGCTTTCCTTCTGAAAGAAACAAGGATAACTCCTACAGAAGGATGAAATCTTACAGTAAAGGAACAATAATAAATAGAAATTTGTGTAATTTATTCAGAAAGCATTCATTTTATAAACTTATTCTAAATTGTTCTCTCATGTCACTCAAGAAACAACACGTTTTCTGAGGATAGCAATAATTCCCCACACACACATGCACACCTTGTGAATGAGTGTATCTCTTGGCTACTGCAAACTTATTTTGGCTGCTAGTAAACCCTCAATTCAATCCTGAGAAGCAAAAGGCCTTTAGTTTATCAACTAGACCATGCCTAAATCAAAAGTATTAAAAAAAAAAAAATGTGTAAATGAATAAACCAGAAAGAACTTTTTTTTTTCCCTTTTCTGTCTGCAAGGTCAACTGCTTAATCATCTTCCAGAGATTATGAGTTCATTACTGCCCAGTGGGCCTGCCTCTCATTGCCCTCAACCTTATGTAGTCACTTAGCTGTACAAAATAAGTAAAAAAAAAAAAAAAAAAAAAAAAAAAATGTTCTTATTTCACACCAATTCTATAACAACATAAATGAGTACTTAAATTACAGGTGAAAGTGAGATTATTTTTTTTTTCCATCATGACAAGCTAGTACAGCCTCAGTATAAATTCAGCAGCCCTTCCCCTTTCCTTCTTGTTTTTATTTCTTTGTGTAGGACTGTTTTATGGAAGAAACACTAACGTGAAGTGTTAAATTCTGCACAGGTAAAGTTGAGTCATGCTGACAGGTAAGAGTATACAAGTGTAAAAATGGAAGGTGTTTCTCTTCATGCAGAAGAGGGAGTTGCTAGTAGAGTACAGCAAAAAAAAAAAAAAGTGCTTTTTTTAAATCTCATTTTGGGCCAGACTAGCTGATGTCTTCAGTGTAGTCGTTGTTAAGCTTTTTTGTAATGTAAGCAAGGCCTTTTCACAGGGAATTTACTACCTGACTGAACTCTACAAACCACTCTTCTGATGAATTAACTTCTCAAAGCCAAATTCTTTTAATATGCAGTTCCTTATCATTTTGTCATTGCAACCTACAGAGAAGGTATTCTAAATACTTTTAGTAACTTAATTCCATCGATATTTTCCATAAAACTAGCTACTTCTCATACAAGTTAATCAGTTCTGATCTTGTTTTCTCTTAACTGTCCTAGGGCAATGAACACGTTTCTCTGTGGCTAGAAGGAACTGAGAGGAAAGTGTTAAATCTGCTCATCTTTCACCAATTTTTTATACTCCATCCTTTTTTATTTTTTCTTTTTAGTATCCAAATCATAAATCTGTTCTGCTCATTCTCTAATGTAACTTGTAAGCTTGATATGTAGGTGAGGTGAAAAGCACATTGCAAATCAGTTGTCAGCTGAAGTGAAGTGGGAAGGCAGATCCCAAAATGCACTCAGGTCTTTGACCTGCTTTGATTGACACAGATACGCATGACTGATGCTGTGGCAGGCTCAGCAAGCCATGAAGTAGTTTTATTTTAACTAGGGAATTGTCTGTGTCTCAGCGTTACTTACATGCTGTGTGTCTATGAATAAATATTTTTGAGATTCTACGTAAATGGTTCAGCCTTTACAGCTGAACTGAGACTTTTGCTAATGTTATAACTGAAGTCTCAACTCAGTCTGAATTTAGTAATATCTATAAAAGAATATTTATAAAAGGTGTAAAAGGCAACTATAAGAGGCAAGTAAACAGCGCTGGGTGTGCAGGTAGTCTACGCTCCACCAACACACACACACAAACATCAAACATTCTAAATATACAGAACATTGCTTTTACATACTAAACCCGAGTACGCCTATACAGTCAGAAAAGGTAACAAACAATCCTTTGAGTCTATTACTATCAATGTCCATGACTGGGGGAGCATAGTTGGTCTGGTTAGAGTGCTCCCGTATCTTCCATGACTTGTACCAGTCTCCATTTTCCATTCTTTTTCTTTATTACAAACACCGGAGAATTCCAGGGCTAGTCGTGGTAACAATATGTCTTGCTTTAAGTTGTCAAGCAACTCGGTCTTCGGGTCTCGTGCATCCCACTCTTCCCGTATCGAAGCGAAACATCCCTCTCCTTTTCAAGGCCAATAGGGCCTGGATCAAAAGGCACGTCCAGCTCAGCAGGGGGCGCAACAGCAAAAGCCTTCGATGGCTGTAGCAGCAGAGGGGCCCATGGCGTAGCAGAAGGATCAGCAAAGGAGCCCGCAGCTCCCTCACTATCTGGCAAACCACACGTTTCTGACTGTGGGCCCACAGGGCTTTTTAAGGCCTCAGAGGTTGCTCGCCAGGTGCTGAGCAATCCCGCCGCTACCTTGTCGTTTTTGGTAGCAGTCCCACACCTTGCCCTCAATTTGGTCACATATTTCAGGATCATAAACTAACTGATTGTTAATATGGAGAATAAACTGTAAGGTTACCAGGACAGTCTTTGTTTCTAGAGCCCTATGATTCCCCATAACGTGCAACTGCTTACCAGCGAGGGGCAGTTGTGTGCGTGGGTCCGCTTCTCTCAGCTTGAGCTTTTTTCCAGTGACTTTCTGTACGAGCTTCTGTGAGCGGTTTGCTGAGTTTGGCCGAACCTGTCTTGATGAGGCGATCAGTGTGCCTGTTCCCGTCCTGGTCTCCATTCTGCTAGCCTGTTTCTTTTCATTCCTTTCTACTTCGTTATCGATGACATAACTTCATCGTGTTGTCTTTTTTTTTTTTTTTCTTTATCTTTGGGGCAGGCTCCCCTCTTATACCCTTCATCCCCACAGCAGTTCTTTTCAAAACAACCTTTCATTGGTCAAGCAACTTTGAATATAACAACAACGGCACACACACAGAAACTTCCATGCCTTGACGGCTGGAGCACAAGCAACCTGAGACTGCATGGAGTCTCCTGAATCACCCTTCTTTGTTTCCTCTAAACTCTTTTACATTCCTGATGGCCTCATCGTTAAGCGTCTAATCTTATCATCAACCACGGGACTTTCTGACCCCCATGGCCACACTCCCAAATCTCCCACTTCTTTATTAATATCGACCACTTTCTCGACACGAATTACCACTCCATATATAACACTAAGATTGCAGATCTGTGCATGTTGAACACTGAAATATTAAATGTGGGGATATCCTAAATGTGTGAAGACGTGGTAGCAATTCACTTCTTTAACACTTAAACGGACTAAACTCAGTGCTCATAAAAACAAAAACTCTACTGTTTTTGTTTGACTGTAGACAATTACTGAAGTACTGACTGGACACAGTTTGAGCAGCTCTTGTCTGTGTTAGGAAACAGTGGATTTCTCCCAGCAGTGTATCCTGTAGCATTAGCCTGCTAATCCCAAAAAATCCCTTTCCTCTTGTACACACCACATGATGGTATTTCGGGCTTATCCTGTACCATTAAGGTGATTA